TACTATTTTCATTGAAATTATATTTCACATTAATTGAATTTCCATATGGGCATACCCGAATCTCTCGAATTGAAGCGATTTTAACAGAACACCAGTTAAATTTTTAGATAAGTCTTTAAAATCGAATATATCTGCCTGCAACTTTTCCTTAACTATGTATGGATTATGAATTTTACAGTCCCTCATAAATCTGCACCACTCATTTTCTGTATATACAGATTTGTGTTTGCAATGTTGCTCAATACGGGCATGCATTGAATCGCCATCATTTTGTGTATGGCCAACTTCTAAAAATCTAAAAAAATCTGGATGTTAAAATGATGCAAAAATGTAAATAATACATGTTTTTTTTAAATTATAGCAAGTTCAACAAGAATTGAAACCATTTATTCAACGTAAAAAATTAGGATTTACCTATGGGTTATAGTAATGTTGAAATCTACAGCAGCTTTAATGAACATAGTGAAGACCATTTTCTTACGGTTTTGTCCGCCGCAGTTATCACTATATAATATTACTTCTTTAACTCCAATTTGAGATTTCTCGTTGATAAATTGCCATAGAAATGATGCTATTTCATTGGCGCCTCTGTTTCCCACTGTCTCGTTCCAAACATTACAGTGACCCACGTGACCAGCCATTTCAAAAATCGTAAAATTCCATACGCACAGTTTGGACATATAATATAAAGGACTTATGTATGCCCGAGGAGTGGTTAATACTTTTTGTAAATCAAAGTTTATCGTGCAAATAGATGCATCCTGAATGGATCTTTGTTTATCAATTTTCATATATTCCCTGGCTTTTCTTTAATTCCTTAAGTGTAAATTTTGTTTTTTGTGATGTAGTGCTTTTTCGATTTCTGAGAGATTTCTAAAAGTTTCGCATTGTTCACACCTAAATACAATACTAATGTACAATAATATAATATTTTTGATTCATTCTTGAAAACAATTAGCAGCAAATTTAACATGAATACCGTGTCTCGACCTTACCTGTCTTTTTTCGATACAAAAAGCCCATAATTAAATTCTGTATTGAAAATTTTTCGTTACATTTGCTGCGTGATGTAAATCGTTTCATTTTTTTTTTCATTTCTTCTTCAAACAAAGAATACATTTTACTTATACTAAGCCCTTCCTCTAAATATTTTTTGGATGTATTTTCTCTGCAATAATGGGAATCCATTACAGGGAAAGACGATATATGATCACGAGCACGTTGTTTAAATTGTTCTGGTACTTTATGAGGTCTATTTGTATGCCTTCCTCTTTCATCACAATTAATCACGAGAGTGCTGTTTGCATGTTTTTTCTTTTTGTCAGCTGTTCTGACCCATTGATAAGAAATGCCTGTTATTAACATTTAAGGAGAATTGAATTATTTTCAATCTTATTTATTAGTTTTTATAATTTTCATGATATTGAAGATGTTTTAAAAATACTCTAAGTTACTCACCCAATGTATCAAGATAAGTTTTTTTACAAACTTTAATTAGTTTGTCTCCATTTGGCAAAGCAAAATAATGATTGACAACTTTTTTATTCGGTTCTCTCTGGATCTCAGAATCAGGATCAACAGTTTCATTATATCTAACTGTTTTGGAATATACCCAATGATTTATGCACATCCACTGTTTGCTTCGGTCGCCAAGTTCCCAGAAGTGGGAGAAAGCTGTTTTTCGAGCATCAAGACTTATTTTTTTGGAACAGAGAAAACGACAGTTATCATTACACCCATCACGCATTTTTCTACTTTGTATGGGTAATCCTTGTCTTCCAATGCCTTCAGTACCTAAATTGCGTGCATTTTGCCTTTATGTCAATCCACAAATCCTTATTTCGAGTTCTTTTTCTCATGACAGTTTTTGGTTGATTGTATCTCTTACGTATTTGAGAACCGGAACTACTCACACTCTCGATAGAATTGTCACGATTAAGAGTATTTTGCTCACAGTTTTCCTTATTACGTGAAATTGTTGCATCTAAATTACTATCAAATGTTTTATTTACATCCATAGTGTAGGAATTATTTTTATTTTAAATTCTTAGTGTTGGCGGGAGGGTCACATTAATACACTGAATTATAAATCACTTCGAAAGTGGCTCGCAAAATACTGATCGCCCGTGGCACAGAGCGTGTCTTTTAATTGCTCGGTTTCATTTGTCAATTGTTTTTGCAATTGTCGCTACATCAGGAATCTGGAACCTTCCAGGATTTTCCAGAACTCGGTGCTACGTGCCATGTGTACCTCACATACGCACACACACATTCATCCTTGATCGACTTTTGTTAATCAAGCCACGTACGTCATGAAAATTCTAGAATACGGAGTATTCTCGAAGAATCTGACATCTGCAACACACACAGATACACATGTACAATTCTTTTAAAGCTAAGCGAAGACATTTTAAAGTTTTATCAATTTATTATGTATCATCTATTTACGATTATCATGACCATTGTTACACATTTTGAACTTAATTACTTTTCACAAGGTAAACGTCTGTTTATATAGACAACTGGTAACTTCCGAAGATCTACATAGAACTTTGGAAGTTACCAGTTGTCTATATTCTATAGAAAAGTGATTAAGTTCACAATCGACTAATAATTGTCATGAGAGAAAGAATTCGAAATAGGGATTAGTGAATTGACCTAAAGGCTAAAAGCACGCAATTTAGGTACTAAAGACATTGGAAGACAAGGATTACCCATACAAAATAGAAAAATGCGTGATGGATATAATAATAACTGTCGTTTTCGCTGTTCCCAAAAAAAAAGACTTGATGCTCTAAAAACTGTTTCCTCCTAGTTTTGGCAACTCGGTGGGCGACGCATACAATTAAATGGATGTGTATAAATAATTGGGTATATTCCAAAACACGTCGACATAATGCTTTATACTTTTAGATGTCTTTCAGGAAGCAAAAGGCACTATAGCGGGAAAAACAAAATTTGCACTTAAACAATAAAAAAAGCGAGGTAATTTATATAAAAAATGATAAACAAAGATCTATTCAGAATGCATCTGTCTGCACGATAAATGTTGATCTACAGAAAGTATTAACCACTCCTCGGGCTAACTTAAATCCTTTATATTATATTAAGTAATTCTGTATATACCCAAGATGAGTGGTGCAGAGTCATGGGGAAATGTAAAGTTCAGAATTCATACCTTGTTAAAGAAAAGTTGCAGGCAGACACATTTGACTTCAAAGATTTATCGAAAAAATGTAACTGGTCTTTTGTTAAAATCGCTTCACTTCGAGAAATTCGTGTATGCCCAGATGGAAATTCAGTTATCGTTAAATATGATTTAGATAAAAACAGTATGGAAATGAATATTTTGAAACATTATGGAATATGGATTACAAAATGCTTACGATACTAAAATTAGACTATCTTTAAAAAAAAACAAGATTTATCAGCAATGGTATTTAAAAGTCTTATCCCGACAGAATTTATTCAATTTTATAATAATATTGTTAATTAAATAAATTAGTTTGTGTTTGTTCATATTTGAAAGTTCCACTTAATTCAGAAATCCTTTGAATGCAGGGAATTTCGGCCAAAATATACAAAACGTATATATACGTTGCTCGGATTCAAAGAAACGTAATTGTACAAATACGAAAAAGTTAAAAGTTAACAGAAGAATGGGATAGTATTTCGCCTTGCTTTATCCAAAAATTAACTGTGACCCTGCCACGGCGATTAGAGGTTGTGATTAAAGCCAAAGGCTACCCTACAAAATATTAATATTTATTCCTTTATGTATTATAATTCTTAAATATCAAGCGTGTGCTCAATTTTGTGTCACTAATACAAGTGCACTTTTACATTTTTATATTAAGTACAAACACATGGTTTATTTTAATTAAATTTGTTTCATGCAATATGCGTCAAAATGTATGAATAAAATATATATTATATCTTTACTCTCAAGTATGTATGTTTTTATTTATTTTCCTGCCAGTTTTCATTACTAACATATAGGTGTACGCTCAATTTTGTGAGCAATTGTACGTCAACTATTTGTAAATTGAAATGTGCTAGCCTTCGTAGGACTTATGCAACGTGCTACTTTTCGCCGCAGTGTTCGAAATACGCTACTGTTCGTGGCGAACTGTAAAACGTGCTTGTTATCGTAGTGAATATCAAACATGCTAGTCATCATGGGAAACGATGAAACGTGCTTCTTTTCGGGATAGATTGAAATATGCCATGTAGTCTTCGTAAGACAAATGAAACATGCTACTTTTCGTAACGCACGTCGTATTGAACGGAATAATAGATAAAGATGGCGCCACGTTGAAACCGCAACCATTTTGTGAGGTCTATGTACGTAGCAATATTTCTTTGAACAAGAGAACGAAAGTCGATAGCGTCGTTACGAGAGGTGGTCGATAACCAATTGTGCATCGTTCTTTTCGAAACGAGAAATTGAAGTTCGATATACTTGTGAAATAATTCGTCAAACCGCTGATTTGAGATATCGGATTGCTTCGCGATAAATTTTGACGCGTGGATATTATAAACGGAAAAGCAATGCATCGTTCCGAACGGTTACATTGTAAATTATGCAACGAAAATCCTCCATTTTGATGAGAAAGAAGACGATATCCAAGCCGACTCTACATAGTACTAGCCATACTGAAGGTAAAAATAGTAACAACGCGGGAGTCCGGCTTCAATACCTAACCCAACCTACCATATCAACCTCTCAGTTCTCCCGCTACCACCGGCCTCCCAGCTACCCAATCTCCCTCTACCGGCCTCTCGGTTTCCCGCAAATCCTTCAAATGTTTAGATTATTATAATCTCCCAAATGTGAGAACTAGTGCAATAATCCAGATAAGTTTTATTTATTTACATTTATATTAATTTTACATATCCTTTGTTTGTGTGTAGTACATTTATTTAATAGAATCTATCACATTTTTCGAAATATTGTTTTACATATATTTTTGTTTATAAATTTCATATATTTATTAATAATGCCACGGCGTTGCTGTGTTCCCAATTGTAAGGGAAATTATGATAGTACTTTAAAAGATAGTAATTATATATCTATGTTTTTCTTCCTCAAAGATGAGGAATTGCGGCAAAAATAGATGGCTGCTATTCCTCGTAAAAATTGGACACCAACAAAATATTCTGCCATTTGCAGTCTGCATTTTGCAGAAAGTGCTATTCAAAGGTATCAAGGTATTCTATCACCCAATGGTGTACCGGAGAATGTTTTGTTGAGATGTCCAAGGCTTATAGCGAATGCAGTACAATCCATTTTCCCCAATTTCCCTTCTTACTTTGTAAAACATGTATTACCACCAAGAAAAGATCCTGTAGAGCAAGATCAAGAAATCGTTGAAAGAAATGAAAATTTAGTCAAAGAATTTACTAATTCAGATTTAGTTTCTCGGATTTAATAAATAATTATGAAGAAAAACTTGTACTTTCAAACTGTTGGACTAGTAAAATAACAAATTCAAAAATTTATTTTTGTATGCTAACACACAGATTGTGATTAGTGACAACATGAAATTACAAGTTTTTTAAGAAAGCAATGAAGTTTCATTCTATGATTTAAAGTGGGTACTGCCTATTGATAAGAAATTATCTAGGTGGTCTCAACTTGAAAATTTATTAAGTAGATATAAAGTATTACAGAATCCACATTCTACCACTGATATATGTCTTATTGAAAAACATCTTGAGAAATCTCTAGAAGAACTTAATAAGGCATATATTATTGCAGAATCAATTGAATTTGCTTATACCAAAAATCTTGAAATAGTAATAGATCAAAAAAGCAAATAAAAAATAAAAAAAATAGATATAGCTCTTGCACCATTATTATGGCTTTTTCGTTATATAGCCAATCGTCAGCTGCATACAATTGCTTGTCCAATTGTGTTGTAGATGATTCCATTAAAATGTACATATCTGGTTATGGGTCCCATTCTGTTGCTAAAAAATTAAATTGCAATATATGTTGATTATTAATTGTGGAGTCTAAAGATAAAACTGTAGGCAATGTATATTTTGATCACTTACAAAGAGAGGGCCTTTCCGTTCCCACTGAAGAAGTGATAACCTCATTTATTCGTATGTATGCAATAATGGAAGCCATAATAAATGATGGCAATTTGGAATTTCAATTTTTACAATCTGAAAATCATAAATATATTTTACGTAAATTAACATATATTAGTATTCAATCAGATATACATTAGATATAAATGAGTTCATAATTAACTGCATAATTGTTCCTTTCAATAGCGAATCATCCTACCCTCTTTTCCACATGTCCCTTAACCTATTTGGCGTCGTACAAATAATTTTGTCTATTTCAGGTTTCTATTAACTTATACATACCTTTATCAATTTTTAAATGCTTCAATTTGGTTCAAAGATGGTTTTATCATGCTTCACACTTATATTTTTTTGAAACCACTGTCAATATTTCAAATATAATGCATCACAACACCAAACTATTCAAAGTGTCCACAAAATATATACCACATTTATAAATATTAGTATACTTCTATATTCCTTCTACTTACTATAGTTATGATATTTCTGTATTCCTTATGCATAATTAATCAAAAATAATGTGTATTAGTATGGTTTTATGTAAAGAATAACGATAATTATAACACTGAGCACAAAACTCTATTCTTGAAAATCGGACTCCCGAATCCGCCATGAGCGATGTTGCCACGTTGTTCAGCACGGCTAGTACTAGAGTCGGCTGTGACGCTATGAAATAGCAGGAAATATAAGAAATATGTTATATTTGAATTTTGATACGTGAAACGACAACGAGACCCGCCCGGCACATGTGGGTTTTTGATTTAGAATCATGGAAAGTAAATCAATATTATTGTCGAACAGCGGAAAATCCGCGACGGCGGAGGATTCTAAAACTGAAATGCAAATGGTACTATCAAAAATGATGGAAGAAAAGCATACGTACACCTACAAGAAATTAGTAGTGCCCATGTCGATGCGAAGTATCTATTGGAGGTTCTTTGGATTTCCAGCCACAGACGATGGAGACATTCTCACTAAAGTAAAGGTTGTTTGCATCTTATGCAAAACTCAAATCGCCTACAATCGTAACACCAGCAACTTGCGTATGCACTTGCAAAACAAACATGACCAAAAGCTGTTAGAACTCGAAGCTACTAATCCTCCTCAAAGACAGGTATTTTTACAAGAAACGAAAGAGGCGCAGAGCTCAAAAGAGGTTATTAAAAGCAGGTTTAACGTCCGCACAAGATATTTACACTACTAATGCTGATGGTACTGTGCAGATAGACGGGGACATTCAGTTCGTGACAGATCCGAATATAAGTCTTTCTAACATCGAGGATGTCTTTTCAATCGGTCAGCCGTTACGAGTCATGATTAAAAGCGGTTCTAATATCAGTAACAACAGGCAAAACGTGGCCTTTCTTATGCCCTAAGAGAATGCTATTAATCAGTCAAGCATCGATGGGATAAATGTGTCTGATGCTATAACACAATTCATTATAATGGACTTACAGTTACCTGAGGTAGTGGAAGGCCGAGGATTTCAGAGGCTAGTCGCGACTCTACGGTCGCCTTGCGAAATTCCGAATAAAAATAAATTAGAAGATGAAATCATACCAAAGATTTATGACACCTTCCATGAATCAGTGGCGACAACTTTGACTTGTGTCACTGGTGAAGTGGGTCTTACCGTTGAAGAGTGGAGATCAAATTCTGACGAACGTTTTGTTACTATCTATGTTTACTATCAAAATGCTGGTGAACCAGTCTTAGAATGTAAAGTATTAAATACAATTCATGCGCCGTTGGATTGGGAAGAGTCTCAATGGGGCAATACAATAGATTCTTTGTTGCTTGATTAGGATTTGAAATAGAGAGGATAACTGCTGTGGTGGTAGCTACATCTAGAACAGAACTATTAACTGCATTAACAAATCGGGGATTAACTTTAGTTCCTTATTTACTTCATACTTTACAAGTATGGGCTCAAGCTTGTTTTGAAAATCTAGAGGTTGCTTCTATATTGTCTAAATGTAAAGTAGCTATCGGAGCTATCATAAGCCATCCAGCTGCATCAGCAGCTCTGTCCATGCAAGAACAGTTACTGGAGGTAAACTTAAAATTATATTGTACACAAACAATGTTATGGTAGAGTTCAACCTACAATGGTTGCATAAATAAAGGGAACTGTACTTTAATCTTCACTTGGTGGAGTGGAACAATAATAAACCTGTTTCACCAATTAGAAATTGTAAAGTCCCTAGCAAAAATTCTATGCAATCCTAGTTAGGTGAAAAGCTATTCACTTTATTGATAGTTAAATCGACTGTTAATTGATGAATAAGCAAATTTTTAAATTCATTTAACATGATTTTAGCTGGAGGAGAATACCATGCTGATGGATTATCCGCCCGTGTGGACGTCAACGTACAACATGCTCGAGCAGATAGTCCTACGTCGTAATATTGTAACATCGATGTTAGAAAGTATGGAAGGAGTTGATCAAGTTATCATTTTGATTAAAGCAGTGTTTCTCATACATAACACTATTCATTTTTGCTTACTAGCTGACACATTATAATTATATAGTAACAATCGAACAAAAACAATCTTTAAAAAGTTGATTGTTTTTAGATGATTGAAGTTTAAAATGGATCTCTAAGCATGCTTATAAATAACAAGCTTCATCAGTTATTGATTCCATTTTCAATGCTACATCGAGTTAAACTAATTTTGCTTTAAGTACAATGCATTGAGTCTACATTATTGTACTTTCAGTCAGTGTCTTTTCGTTAGAATTATCAGTCAATGAATTTCAAAGAATATATTATTGTTCATGATACTAATGAATGATGAATTTGTTTCCATCAAAGTTTCAAATGAAATTTCATATTTTCAAGCTACAGGAAATGTATTTGAAATTTATTTCGACTTTGATCATCTCTTGTTAAGTTTTCAATAATATTATATTATTAGTTTTAAACGAATTTGGATTTCAAAAGTGTTGTATAAGAATTTCCAAAGCCTAAAGAGTATAATAGAAATGAAGGAAATGAATACCCTACTTAAAAAGTAATAGAAAAAAGAATAGTTTTCAAATTTGACGCCATATAATGTATCACGACATTGTAGTTAAATGTTATATATTATATACCATTATGAAGCGTTGGAAATAAAATTTCAATGCAATTAGTATTATGTTAAAATAATTAAAATATTGATTTTTTATTCAATCTTCGTATTTATTTACACATCAATCTTAGCAGTAGTTCATTTGCAATAAATATGCAAATGCAATTACACAAGCAACTTGTGATACGTCACTGAAATATATGTATATGTATATGTATGTATATGGATAGTAAAGTGTGAAGTTAGCTTAGGTATATACAAATCACAGCTGACTATTATTTGCATTCTTTTAACTTTAACTCATACTACCTAGGTATTTATTCCAAGAACAACTTTTGAATAAACAATAAATATTTTCTGTTTAAAGGAATAAATACATATACTACTCCTATAAATATTCAGTTTACTTTAAATTTATGTAATTAATCAGCGACAGAAAATTACATCAATTCAAGTACGACGATTAGTGTTATTTAAAACGTTTATTTTAACACAAAAGAAGTGGAGCACACGTTCTTAGAATGAAATGTAAGTTAACGTGAACTTGTATTTCTATATTTATATATTTGCATACTCATTAGTGTCACTTTTTATTTTACTTAATTATGCTTTCCTTAATATTTTCAGGAATATAGAAACATGTTGGCCGGGCGCAGATACTTACGCGCCGCGCCCAGCCGCGTGATTCTTACCAATATAATTGGTTATTACTCCGAAGTCGCAAGGATGCGCAAGTTCAGCTCTGACCGTTATATTCCTTATACTATAGGCTATCAAATAATATAAATTTCAAGGATTCACCTCGATTCCGAAAAATGCAGCACGCGATTAAGTACAATAGTCACATAATTTCTTGTATTTCTGTTATTTATAACTATTTATATACTTTAATAGCATAAAATGAATGCATCACTTCATTCTATAAGTAAATGAAAAATTGTTCAATATCTGAAGAGTGAATTTATACAAACTATTGACTTCTTAGTATCCACGCGCTCAATATCCTTCTCTCTCATACAATCGCTACCTCTGTTAGTGTTTTTTAAATTTTATGCTGTAATTAACTTAAAATATTACAAACAAGTCAGACAGCACTGTTAAACAAATTATAAAATTATTTTATCGACATTTCTTCCCCCCTACTGGGCTTAACTTTAGTATAACAAAATTTTTGAGCTCAAAATCAGATTCTGCGACCCCAAAATCCCCCCGAATAACTATTTTTGTAATGATAAACGGTAAAATGTAGACGTAGGGATTTTTTATCGCGTTTTCCGCGATTCGTACCACTGTGGCGTCGGCCGTAGACGTAACCAGTTTACCAGTGTCCACTGTCCACTTGTCCAGTGATGCCAG